AGGCAGCAGGTTGGACAGCTCAGCTTCTCACCTCAGCTTCTCCCCAGCCGTGTCCTCCAACCATTCCCATTTAGTGGGCCCTTTATGCCGCAATATTTTCTGCAAGTCATTTTTTTGCTCCACTTCAGTACTTGAAGGGAACTGATGGGATGAGATGGCGCAGAATGCATTCTGGTACAGTGTATGAGAAAGCTTAGTTTTCACAGGATTTTAACTTTTTAAGTAACACAACCCAATTATATTATACAACTAACTAAATTCCTCCAGAGGAGATTTCCTCCGGACTTTATTCAAGCACCTGAGGGGAGAATGTAGGGAGGATGGGGCCAAACTCTTCTCGGTGGTGGCCAGTGACAGGACAAGGGGTAATGGGTAGAAGTTGAAACCCAGGAAGTTCCACCTCCATGTGAGGAAGAACTGCTTTCCTGTGAGGTTGACAGAGCCCTGGAACAGGCTGCGCACAGAGGCTGTGGAGTCTCCTTCTCTGGAGATCTTCAAGCCCCACCTGGATGCCACCCTGTGCCACGTGCTCTAGGTGTCCCTGCTTGTGCAGGGTGTTGGACTAGATGATCTCTAGAGGTCCCTTCCAACCTCAACCATTGTGTGATTCTGTGAAGTTACTTATGTGCACAGTGATAATAATATGTACTCAGCTGATGTAGTGCAGTTGTGATGGGCTAATGGTATCTAGAAAGGCAGGCCAAGCTTCCTGGTATGCATCTTTATACCCAAGTCAGTATCAGATAAAGGATAGTATACTTTAAAATATATTAATATCAAGGAGTTTTTTTTTTTTCCAGTGGAGAAGTTATATTTGCATAACATTAGCACAGACTTACTTTGTCTCTTGAAAATTGTTCAAATGGAACATTCCTGGGAATGGCAGTGACTGTCAGTAGTTATTACTAAAGGCAGCATTTGGCCGTAGGTATTGTCAATGATTTTGTTTTCTTTTCTGAACAGTTGTGTTGTGCTTGATCTGTTGGCAGGTAGAAAGTGCATTTGTGTAGGCAGACCTAAGGGCAGACTTTTAGACTGTGAACTTAATGGGATTTTACTCTGAACATCAGCACTGATAATCTTGCCGTCGGCCATTACATGTAATACAGAAATATTTGACTCCTTGGCATACCCGCCCCAGTAAGAATGGCAGGTTAGTTAGGCAATATCTTATTTTCTTTCAGTGCACACATGCACAAGTCATAGATATATCTATGCCCTGAACCTTCTTTTCATTATTGTTTGGAACTAGCAAAAGATCATTTGGAAATTATGGCCTTGCTCTCCATTTTGCTGCAGGAATTTTTGTCTGGGCTCACAAGACCTCAAGGAGAGTGGCGAGATGGATGTGCTTATGTGCTCAAATGTAGACAACTCTCAGAAGGAGACTAACCCCCTCAGCCATAATAATGTCCCCTAAGCTTTGCAAAAACTTTCCTTGCAGCGTCCTGCTCTATTGTCTTTTCCTGTGCAGCTGAATAATTCTGCCATATGCAGTTAATCTGCTAGTCTTGCAAGGGGGCTAGCTGCATTTCATGCTGGAGAGCTGGAGCGATTATAGGAAAAACAAAGTTCTCAAATTGCTTTTAAGGATTTTCAGAGTGAAATATGAGTGTCCATATAAATGCTCTATATTCATGAGTATGAAGTTAAAAGCAAATAAATGTTTTTTATTGCATGATCTGCTGTGCCTTCTTGAAACTGAATTTGGGTTAAGTAGGGCCCTCATCGAAGTGAGAGCTGTATGTGTGAGAACAACTTAAGAATTACTCCCCCATCCTCATCAGATCTTTATGTTGAGATGCAGCTACAAGTTACTGCTGTCCTTCGTAACAGTCAAGGTTAATTATTGACACAGTGCTTTTCATTTATTCCTGACTGTACCAGATTGCAGTAGAGGGGAGACAGCTCCACACCCTACTATTATAGGTCTATACAACTTTACAATGCCAAATATTTGGGTAATACATAGAAAAATGCTGCCATCACTTAGGAATATTCACAAAAACTCGATGTTTTGAGTGGCAATTTAGGTTTAAATTTTAAACTAGGTTTAAGTAGCAGTCTGGCTTGACAGCTTCTCTAGTCAATGGAGAGAGAGGTGAAAGCTAAACTGGCCTCTCTCTTTCTTTGAATCATTTTTGGAGGGCTTTACTCTTCAAGCTCTAGATGGCTGTCTAGATAAATGATAGATAGAGTTTTGTGAGTTGTGTCCTAGGCTGAGAAGGTTAAACTGAACTCACCTCTGAAGTAGCTTCAAAATCAGTGACATTAAATAACAGTGAGTTTGGCTCAAATATTTTAGAAAATATTAAGTAAAATTGCCTCATAACCTGCCCCCATCTCAGTCAGTTCCACGGGCTTCACTAGGGATAGATTTTCATTTGCAGGATCTTAGGATTTACGTGGCTCATAAAGAGAATCATCAAAGTAAATAATAGTGCAAACGAAACATTAGACTAGCATCAGAAAACAGTAGACTAGCATCAGTAAGTAATAAAACATTGAATAAGAACAGGACACCATGCTTATCCATCCCAATAAATTACAGTTTTCTGACAACTTAAGAGGCTAACAAATACACTTAACAGGAAAAGTAAACAAGTTGCTATAAAATGGCATTTACTTTACTGGGATTTCTTTATAACACTGAACAACCCTATTTTTGCAAGTAGCCTCTGATTAACCTGTTCAGTCCAAGCTAAATCTGTGTTTTTCTCAGGGGTGGAAAGGGACAGGGTGCAGAGTTAATCTCTAAGTGATATGTCCAACATAGTATTTATATTTAAGTTAAAATATTTTAATTCGTTTCCTTTATTTATGATTTAAGTATTTTATGGTTGTTGCCATTTTTTTTTCAGAAGTTACTTTAGCATTTCAGGCCTCAGTGAAGAGAACTGATTAGTTTATTTGGTAGTAGCAACTTACACATGAATCCAAAAATAATCCGTATGGACGATTTTTATGAACACTTCCATTCAGTCTTCCCAAATAATCCTGGTGCTGAAATCTAGGACACAAGAACACATGTATGCCACAGGAAACTTATCTTCATGTCAGCAGACTCCAGTAGGCATAAGGACCCACAAATCAAAATATTTCTGCTTATCAGAAACAGTCCAAGCTTTTTGTCTTTTTTTTTTTCCCAGGGAAATATCTTTTGCGTAGGTCCACACTGTCTCTTGGGAAACTGTACAGTAACTCTCTGACAGTAGGAGTTGAATTTTTCTTGCATGCATCCGTTCCTGGCCAGCAATGGGAAAGGACACAATTACTGAAGACAACGAGTGGCTTTCTTGTAACAGATGGGTGTAAACATGCAAAAAAATAGATTAAATGAGAAGTTGTGGGAAATTAGAGTGCTATAAGCTCTTTTCCAGAAAGGGTCAAAGCTGGATCATTTTGCAGTAGTCTTCAAAAGTGATTTTAATGAATTTATGGTGTTTACTTTACATTTTGCCTTGGACAGTGTTATTCTAATAACTGTCCAAATTGGCTATATCATTAGAAAAAATTTTTCACTCAAAAGAAAAAGTGACCTTTTTTTGCAGATCTAGTAGCTCAGCACAGAAGCAGGTCAGGGAATATGTTTACACCTCAACATTTCACCCAAGCACTAGTAAATGCGTTGGCTGGTCCAGTTGGCCCAGTAGGGAGTTCTCTAGTATGTCAAAAGGATTAGGGATTTTTTGCCTGTTTGTTAACTTTATAGTTATTTTTATCAAATAACTTTTTATTATTTATCTTAGTGATTTGTATTATTAAGGGAATGTTTTTTTCAATAGTCTGTTCTCGACCTGAGTTGTAGACTGCATTCAAAACAGGAACAAGCTTGGTGTTCTTGAGCCATTCTAAATCCCCCAAATAACATGCCTCTTCCCATGGATCTCACGTTAAGAAGTTTTTTAAAGGGATACTAGAACCCTGTAAAATATATCCTCTTTGTTTTACCTACTGTTAAAATACAGTCTTCCTGTTTGGAAAGCATGTTTTGTTAGTAGTTACCTTTATTTGAGCAGTTAATACCATTCCAGCTTGCACAAGTTTTTTCTACATTATGTTCATGTTTACTGCTAGAAAAATATGATTACATAAGAACATAATACATCTACTGGGGTAAGACAAAGTTATTTTTAGCCCAGTATCTTGTCTCTGATGGTAGCAAATAGCAAACGCTTGGGAAAGAGAATAAAAGTAGACAAGCATATGGTATTTCTTCCTTTGATAAACACTCCCACCTTCCAGCAGCTTGTGGCTTAAAGATGTCCTCAGAGAAAAGTTGCATCATTAACTGTGTTTTTAATAATCCTTGCTATGCTTCTCCTTCCATTATTTTGTCTGATCACGCTTTTGATCCATAGTACTTTATTCCATCATTTAATTGCCCACTGTGTAAAAAACAGTGTTATATATTTAAATATAAAATTAAATATTCATGGTTGAGAAATACAGTTAACAGAGCAGGTCCTGTCTTGGTCTGTTACACTCGAATATGAAAGTGTTAGCTGGGATACTGTTGACTAAATGCCTATGTGTCCAAAAGTTGCGATTTTTTCTACCTTGTCAAATGAGCCGACTTTGTGAATAAGGATTAAACATATTGCCTGCTGTTATAGCTAACTATTTAGAAGGGCATTTAGCTGGAGTGAGCCTTAAATTTCCTTTAAATGAGCCTCTCAGTGTTTGCACACATTCTAACACAGCATTCCCAGCAAGCGTATAGTGGATAAGACTATTATGACTCTTAGTTTTCCTGAGTTAGGCTAGAGTTTCTTGGGATATTGTTTTAGGACAGGAAACTGCCCCCAGATATGTTGTTTTCACTGACATTTCTAGCTCAGTCCATTATAAAAGTTCCAGGTGAATATTTCACCTGGAACCAAGGCAGCTGCATGCAGGCTGAGCTGTCTGGTAAACATTGTGGGCTTAGAGGTCATGTAAAGATGCAGTCAAATAAAATTGATACAATTTGAAATGTTTATTTTCCAGAGCTCCTTTTGTAGATTAAATGCACAGCAGTGACTTTTCTCTCTGTTATACAGAGGAGCCAATATACTGTTATACCCCACACAACTTCACCCGCGACCAAGCCTTGTATGCCAGAGGATATTGTTGGACAGAACTAAAAGATGCCTTGCCAGGAGTCGATGCCAGCCACTGGCCCTCCTTGTTTGAACATAAGTTCCTACCTTATGCACTGCTGGCTTTTGCTGGGATAATGTACATTCCAGCTCTGGGCTGGGAATTTCTGGCCTCCACTCGACTCACTTCCGAGCTTAATTTTTTGCTTCAGGAGATTGACAATTGTTACCACCGTGCAGCTGAAGGGCGGGCACCAAAAATAGAGAAACAAATTCAGTCCAAAGGGCCAGGCATCACTGAGAGAGAGAAGAGAGAAATTATTGAGAATGCGGAGAAAGAAAAAAGCCCTGAACAGAACTTGTTTGAGAAATACCTGGAAAGAAGAGGACGAAGTAACTTTTTAGCTAAGCTTTATCTTGCAAGGCATTTATTCATCATCTTTTTAAGCATCATACCAATTACGTACTTGTCCACCTACTATGCTACGCAGAAGCAAAATGAATTTACATGTGCACTAGGAGAGCCTCCAGACAAAACCAGCAGCTCCAAGCTGCACATCAGAGTGAACTGCAAACTGCCCTCTGTCCAGCTCCAGCGGATTATTGCAGGCGTGGATATTGTTCTCCTTTGCTTCATGAACTTGATAATCCTCATCAATTTAATTCATCTCTTCATTTTTCGCAAGTCCAACTTCATATTTGATAAACTAAACAAAGTTGGCATCAAGACCAAGAAACAGTGGCAGAAGTCCCAGTTTTGTGACATCAACATTTTGGCCATGTTTTGCAATGAAAATCGGGACCACATCAAATCTTTGAACCGTCTGGATTTCATTACCAATGAAAGCGATCTGATGTATGACAACGTGGTCCGGCAGCTGCTGGCAGCCCTGGCGCAGTCCAACCACGACGCCACGCCAACCATGCGCGACTCGGGGATCCAGACCATAGACCCAAGCGTTGACCCAGCAGACATCGATGCTAATGAGCAGCTCATCATTAAGAGGCCAAGAAAGAAGATGAAATGGATCCCAACTACCAACCCTCTCCCTCAGCCTTTCAAGGAGCAGCTAGCCATCATGAAGGTCGAAAACCATAAACCTGAAAAACCTAAGCCCGTGAGGAGGAAAACTGCAACCGACAGCCTCATAGCTCCTCTGTTGGAGTCCACTGCAAAAACCTCCCAGCAATCATCAGCCCATAAAACCGAGTCAAATGCCATCCCAAGCACAAGTACTGAGAAAAAACACACGCGACACTTTTCCTTGGATGTTCATCCATATATACTTAGTAGCAAAAAGCCCAAGCCAGAGATTCAAGCCATGCCCTCGATGCCTACATCAAAAAGCCAAGAGGGAGGATTTATAAACCAGGAAGAGAATGTCATAGTACACGTCACCTCCTCCCTCAAAGGTACAGTATGTCACTCCAGTGCCACCCCCACAGACTTGCGTAGCAATCTGAACTCAAAGCTTATCTCCGCTGTTTGAACTACCTTACTAGATTTGGGGATAGCTAATAATATTAGTGCTTGTAGGCCTCAGAAGCAGGGGTTCCCCCTTTCCTCTCTTTGTCTGAATACACTTTACATAGAGTATAAGCAGTGTTACAGGCAGAGCTGTAGAAAACGGTCTGCCTCCTTTGTGCAGGCAACTTTCCAAATTTCCAAGATTTTCACAACTTTGAATGTGGTTGTGCCTTTGCCAAGGAAATAAGGAGGGTTTGGCCTCCGTGATACCCTTCCTGCTCTACCAGCACCTAGAATATTTTAAATATGCCTTAATTTCAAGCCTTATAGAAAATGCCATGGTAGATCAAACCTGGAAACCTGCTTGTCCCAATACTCTGGCCAGCAGTAGCCACCTCCAAGGAATATGCAAGAAACTGCTAAAGATATTTAAAGCTGCCTGTAAAAAAATCCCCCTTAACTACCAGTTCTTAGAGTTTAGCCTGTGTTTGTCACCTGAGCAATTTAAACTCAGATAATTTATATTGTTTTTCACTCAGGTGACATTTTAAATTCCTCTTTGTCCTCTGTATGGACCAGAGAGTGGATGGTGCAAAATGTGGGTGCTGGTCAGGGATTCAGGAGCTCTGCTATTCGCTTCCTGCATGGCCTCACAGGAGACACTCTTCCCATCCCTCAGTTCCTGTGTGTGCCTTGGAAATCCTATCCCTTTTTGACCTCGAAAGAGTGCTCCAAATAGATCGATATAAGACTGCGAGGTGGTAGGGTGATGGGGTAAGCCATGCATGTAAGCACTGAGAACAGCAACAGATCAGAAGGTAAACCGACAGACAGACAGATATCTTCTTGTTTATCATTGTAAGCTACTGACGTAAGAAAGCAGATCTATGCAGTTGAAGTTACAGAAAGCTTTGTACGTACTTAAAGCAATGGCTCTCATCTCATTACAAGCTAAGACCTCCCTCTGGGCCTCGACAGACTGACAGCTACCGTCACCCCACTGCCCAGCAGAGAAGTGATTTGAGGTATAAAAGTTTCTGTCACTTCCAGATCCGTATGCTCCCTCAGAGCCCTCCAACTCCCCGATGTGCATGTGAGCTATTCTGCAGCGTTCCTTATCCAGTCACCTGCTCTGATTACAACTCCTCAAAACTACTGGGGTTTTCTGGTCTCAATTACCTTGATCTAAATTAGTGCTCAAATATTTTACAGCAAGAGCAAAAAAATAATTACTGTAGTTTTGGGGCTCTGTTAAGCTCCCCATTCCCATTAAAAATATTCAGCTTTGCTTTTGAGTTAGACCAACATTACAATCCATCAGGTAAGGCAGAGCTCTAAATTCTAGAAAGAGACATCAGTTAACTACAAATTGCTGAGTTCTTTCTAAAGACAAGTGGTTTACAATATGTAACCACTACTATTGTAACCATTGAAAATACCACTTTTTTTGTATTCTGTATCTTGTGCATTTCAGCATTCACATTGTTTGTCAAAACATTAAATCATAACATTTATAAAACACCAGAATATAGAGGAGAAAAAAATACTTTTCAGTTGCTTTCTGTTCATGTTATGAAAATACCATTCACATAAGGAAGCATGAGCATGCATAAAAAGAGAGCGAGATTCACCAACCTGTTTGTTATTTCTCCTGTTTCCCTGAGTTTACAATCCTATTGTTATGAAACAGTCCTCTTGGATTCCTCAAAAGCCCCAAGAAAATCCTTTTTTTTGGGGTCTCTTCCTGTTCCCATTGAAATCTATGGCAAAACTGCCAATGACTTTTTGGTTCAGGACACTGCTCTGTGATGGATTGGAAAGGATGGTAAAAGACTACCCATCTTGTAACTGGCTCTTTTGTTTTCTTTTAGACACTCCTCATCCTGCGAAGGAGATCCTGTACCCATCGGAGACATGCAGAACTGTGCCCACTGCTGGAGCTTTTGTCACATGTAACCACAACCATATAGCCACAACTGCTGCTACGACGAGCATGACACTGAATCAAGTCAAGGCAGAACCAACGCCTGCGCTGAACTGCAACCCGACCCATCCGCTGCTGCACATCAACACACTGTATGAAGACCACGAGGAAGAGGTGTCTAACATGATAGACAATGGTATCCACTCACCCTCCGACGCGGGGGAAATGCTCTCCATCCCGGCCATCCCGACCCCCAAGCAGATACGGTTGGCCACGTTTGACGAGCCCATGGCCATAGTGAGCTCTGTGGAGTACTGAAGAGCAGGGCCGCCCCGCTGCGCCCTCGCGGCCCGGCCCAGCGCCGCTGCCGCGCGACTGTGGCGCCCAGCCGTGCGATTCCCTGCATGAGAGCATGGAGAGCTTTACACAGACTCTAGCTTTGAGTAATAACACCAGGCGGGGTTCCAGGACCCCATCACGAGCACTGTCAGGCATTTGCAAAGTAGAATAAAGCAAATCTGGTGGACGTACACCTACAACACCAAGGCAACCCTTAGTTCTAACTATAAACTATAGCTACCTGATCTAAATGGGAATTAGCACAACTTGGGAATGTTAGGAGTCGGATGGCATGCTACAGTTACTGTAGTGAGCATTTAAATCCTTTGTATTCAGAATCACTGATCAAAGCTGAACCAACAGGGAGGTGAGGTGTATCTTCTGTTGTAATGACAGCCGTTAAATAAGAGGGTTTTTTTCCTACGCAGAGGAGGTTTTTTTCTTTAATTCAACATTATGAAAACGTTATATGCAAGCAAAATTTCTGTTTGTTTCTTTAGCTCACTACCGTTGGGCTTGAGGGAGACCTAGCTTAAAGGGCCTTACTACCACCAGCATTTAAGTGCAAAGAGAATTGATGTACATCAATCTCTTGCATTTATAAATGAGAGTACCTGAGGTATGCCCTGCCCTTTAACAAGCTTATATGTTTGTTGGAAGATGATGAAATGAAGAGTTTATTTTTTTAAATATATTTTACCATGGGAAAAAATTACTTTAATAACTTTTAAAATCAGGTGTTGCTTTTAACAAAATGGGTAGAAGAGAGTCATTGTAGCTGCTTATTTTTTCATAGTGTATTTATTAACCAGGTTAGAAACTTTCATGGGTGCTTCACTGATATGAAAAATCTTAAAAAGTTGTTACAAAATATGAAACCAGCAAAATTATTCAAATAACACACAGTTAAAGAAGTCTATGAATTTAAGTCTGCAGACTTGGCTAGGCTCTGATCCAGCAAACACTTAAGGCCATGGATTTCACTAAATTGACTCATCAGTCTAAAGTTAAGCACATACTGAATTGGCCATGCTAGATCCAGACTCTAGTGAAGGCAGACAGTAACCCTGCAGAATGTGCTGTCACTCTGATTCAATATTTGCCTTCCTTGGCTCAAAGCACATCTTCATGCCCATCTTCCTATAACTTCAATATTTGTGATTTAATAGAAAACTCTAGTATAAATAAAACATCTATTAAAAGTATATCATGCAATAACCATTCTCAGCAAAATTATAGTGAAACAAAAGTGACTGTGTTAAAATAATATTCCTAGCTGCATTCAAAATTATGGACTGTGTGTGTTTGCTTCGAAATTATGTATAATGGTAGAAAAAATATGCAGCACAAATATGGGACTGAAATCTTGAATTTATTTTTAATTTATTACCTCAGACATGGACATATGATACCAGTATTTAATGAAAATAGCACTGAAAATAAATACACATTATTCTGAATATTTTAATGTGTACTGCTTCCTAGCTTAATCACCTACAGCAAGTGGAATTCCATTACTAGCAGTAGATGGGACATATAAAACCACTGTTCCCCCATATATTATGTCACTTATGCCCAACCTTTTTGGCCGAAAAAGCCAGGAGCCATAAGGGCAGTGACACACAGGACGTGTACACGGTTTTGGGAGGGAACAACCAACGGATGTGACTGTAGCTTCCTGAGGTGTCAGTGGTGGGCCGAGACTATGAGGGGCTGGGAAGCTCTGCCCTGGGCAGCTGGGAGAGCCCTCTGAGTGACACAGCCCTGGCGGCCCAAAGTCCTGAGCTTCCTATCAGCTGCCTATGGCTCAAGGGCTGCAGATGGAGCTGTCTTCCAAGTCGTTAGAGTGCAAATTCCAGGGTGTTTGGCATCACTGTTCCCTGCCAACGTGACTTCCTTAGTAGTGGATAAAGCAGCGTGAAGTTTTTAAGCTATAAATACACACTTACTTAGTCAGGGCCTAATTCTACCCATTGTGCACTGGATTTCTCTAGCGAGAGACTCCCAGAGTGGAGCCTGACCCATGAGGCGACCACGAGGTGTGAGCTCTTCCTCCTCAGCATAACTGCCACCCGTTCAGGTTCATCTGAAATCAACAGCACAGCAGGACTTCGGAGGCAAGGGGAATGTGCTACTACGTAATATTCACACAGACATGCAATTGTGCAGTTAGAACTAGTTTTTTTTCAGACAAATTAAAACCATTATAGCTCAGTGCTTCTGAAACATTTTTGAAAAATTATGGAAAATTGTCTCAAGGAAATCAGGAACCCATAAATAAAATCAATGAAAGAATAGGGCCCTGAGGCCAGATCTAAAGAGCTGCAAATGTTTTATGCCACCGTAGTTTCAAGAGCTTGAAGCCAGCGTTGCAAATCTCTTCCTGTTTGCAATAGCTCAAACGACAATGTTACATATGCCCAAAGCAATCTCGGGGGTTGCCTCTTTGCTCTTCACTTGGTATTCTTATACTGAGCAAAAAGTCAACCCTGCTGGCCTGTAGCTAAAGTTATATACCAGAACATGCATTCACCACTAAGTCTGAAAAAGGCAAGGATCCAAACTTGCATTTGTAGCGCACTAAAAACAGCTACATTCAGTAAGGACCTTCACGACTCAAAAAATGCAGGGCTGGATTATTGGGCAGGAACACATATCCATACAGTAAGAGTGTTTCCTGGGGATGACTGTCCAGTCAAGAATGCCCCTTGTTCATTCAGGATGAAAACTGTGTGGACATCCCGCCATTCTCAGTGGCATTGCTGAATTCTACTGTTTTAGGATCTGCTGGTACTTTTTTGCCAATCGGTATCAATTAGACTAGATTGACTTAAAAAAAAAAGAAAGAAAAGCAGATAGCAAGTTCTTCAGCGCTGAGAAAAAAAAAAAAAAAGGGAACAAACTGAAGTCCGAGAATTACTACTTGACTTACCCTTCCATGCTGTTACAAGATTTTGCAGCATTGTCTTTCACAAGCTGGAAACTGCCGATATCAGGCACACAAAGATGTGAATATTTGCACACCGTTTGCTCGATAACTGCAGGATGGTGGTCGACTTAATAGAGCAAGCAAGCAGAGAGTGAGTGCAACTGAGTCTTGGCTAATGTGGTTAGATATCGCTGATGAAGGCACGTAGCAAACACCATCTCACAGGAGGGCTGAAAGGAAAATGTCTGTGTCTTTCTCAGAGGAAATTATCTGAACTAATGACCAAAATAATGGAAAAATGCAGTCCCATTTAAAGATACCTCCTTAAAGCTGAATCACATTATTAACTCCATCTGCTTATTCTCTGCTCTGATGGTTTCAATTTGATAAATCAGATGACTCATGTTCTTCGAGGACCTGCTGCTCTCAGATTAATGGCTATTTTCCCATTTACTTCACTGGGACAAGTACTGGATATTGAAAGCAGAGAAACCCCTTCCTTCCTCCTAGTGAGAGTGCATTTTATAACCAAACAGAAGAGACAAGTGTGTGAGAAGCATCTTTTAAGCTTTTTTAGACTGCTAAACCCAATAGGACATCAGCACTTTCTGTCTCACAGCCAAAGTGTTTCCCTGAGATTTTTTCTCCTGCAGCAATAGTTATATTATAGTAACATTTAGCTGTACTGAGTAAATGTGCATATACATGCACACATGCAGGTTTATATATATCAACTATATGCTTACAAATTCTACATATGCATGTAAAGATGTATCTATTGCATAGAAAAACTTTCACCATTTCTGCTTCGTAACTGAGCTATATAAACAAGTCTGTTCCTCTCCGATTACCAGGCTTTAGGCCCAATACAGCAGTATGTTGTGCATCTCTTTCTCCACTGGGATTTTCTGATGCTTGGTTTCTTAGTGAAGATGCTCCATTCCCAGAAGAATTAGGTCTGCTGTTTATACATATATATATATATATATATATATAGGCATTGACAAGGTCCTGATCTTGAGAGTCCTTTTGTGCATGGTGCTTACTAAGACTCCTTGGCAGCAAAATACAGAAGAAAATTTATCCCTGAGCTGGGGATGTGGTCAGCATAGCCCAAAGCTGCTTTGCACACCCTTTGTAACTCCAGTGCAGTGGCTCCCAAAGCCGGTGCTGAAGCCTGCTGCAAGCAAGGCAGCCTTAAAGTTGTTTTGGCTTGCCATGGTTACCAGTCAGGAGGTTGTCTGATAATTGGAAGTACACTAGGGAGGTTACTCACAGGCTCCAGGTCCGTAAGAGTCGCTGCACTGAGCGGCTGAAGCCTTGAGCTTCATCTAGAGCTTTAAGAAAGCGGATCATGATGCCTTTTCATGCTTTCACCCAAAAGATCACTAAGCTTTTGGATCTTTGAGAGCATGACCTATGCTTGGGAAGCCAGTGACTCAGGGAAAACTGAAGCAAGCACTTCGTTCAGTGCTGCACAGAGGAAAAATAAGATTTCTCCCTCTGCATAACAGGGATAGAGAACACCCAACTTCAACTTTTTAATCAGGGAGTTCAAGAAGCTTTAGAAGACATGCGTCATCCTTGTTCTCGGCTTACAGATAAAGACACTGAGGCATAAAGAAGTGAAACAATTTGTCCCAAAGTTACTCAGACTGTGAATTAACTGTCTAAACTAGAGCTGAGAATATGCCCTGGGTTCTATAACACTGTCCTACATTCCAGTGTGGACGATGTGTGGGGATGAGTCTGGGTGCTGTAATAAAACTCTGTGAATTCCTTTCCTACCATAAAAAAAGGTTTGTTTTGCTTTGTTCAAACAGAAAGTGTGGAATTTTGCTTTAAAAAAGCAATAATTTTCTCCTAAAATCATTCTGCTATAACAAAAGCTACGGAACACACTGGGAATTTTACACAGGACAGTTATTTCTCAAGCACCTTCCAATATTTTCTAGCTTCTGGAGGAATGTTCCACTCGGCCTGTAAACAGACTGCAGCTAGCAGGAAAACACGCTAAGTACATTATTTACAAGCTATAAACTTTCAGCTTTTGCCATTCTCTGAACAGGTTTAATGCATTTCTTAGCTATTTTGCAACA